ACTACCATAAGCACAATCACTCGAAGATAACGGCCCGGCATACTGCTGAGAGATCGACGCAGATCTTTATCTTCTAATATCGGCAGTATATTGGTACGATTGTGATAACACAAATCATCGTAGTTTTTCTTCTTTTTTTTTGTTTTGATAAAAAAAAATATAAGAAAGAAAAGAACAGAAAAGAACTATCGATCGGACAACTACAACTTCATTATTACTACCCATCAAGGTAATCGGTCTTGTTTCTATTTTTTTATATCAAATATAAATGTCAATGGATGTCTAAGGTCATATGAGAAGGTTCCATGTTTTGACGGTCTAATCGATGTTCGTCGTTAACCATTTTTTTTTCTTTTTGTATTGGTCTTATCAGTTGAATACTGACATTCAGCCATGTGCCAATTCATATTGAATGACCTCCCTTCTTATCAGTCACCAGTAGTATTACCAGTCTGTTGCAATCATATTTTGAACCCTCAAGGCTATTCATACGATACAATAGTGCTATTTTGAAAGTGGAATGAATATATATGTATACATGTATGACCAAAGAAAAAAAAGAACTCCAACATAATTCATTTTAGATTTTAATATGCATCCTCAAGTTTATGGAAATCATACAGATGATGGTTCATCTCCAACGTTCTCATTAAATCCAACGACAAATAATAATAACAATAATAATGGTCAAGATGGATCAACTATTGAAAGCAATCATTCATCACCTGTCTGGCCAATACCATCAACATCATCATCATCAATAGCAATACCAGTTAGTACAGGAAATGGTTCACATCCATTGGCTAATACTGATTTATTTTCTCCTGAACCATATTCAGTTGCAGCTATGGCTGTATCACGTTATGCGGATGATCTTTATATGAATTGTTATTCAACAAAAATGAATTCACTTTTACTTGCTCAAGCAGCAACAAATAAATTAAATGATCCAGCAAATGCTTATAATCGTAAATTTATAATTAAAAATTTCCTATTAGAAAAAAAAAATTATTATTTATTTTTTCTTTTTATTCTAGCTTATTGTTATCCATTTGATGAACCACGAGAATGTGTTAATTGTGGTGCAGCAGCATCACCACAAAATACACGTTGGAGTAAAGATGGTAGTGGTTTTAATTTATGTAATAAATGTGGTATTTATTCGTCTCGTACGCATAAAATTCCAACTAATTCAACATTATATGCAACAGGAAATAATACAAACGATCGATCTATTCGAAAGAGTGTAGATATTTTTATAAAAACTTAATTCTTTTTTGTTTTTGATACATTCATTTGTTTTGTTTTTTGTGTAAAGGGTACACTTCATCGTTCAGGGAATCAATGTGCAAATTGTTGTACAACAGATACAACATTATGGAGACGAAATGCAAGTGGAGAAAGTGTTTGTAATGCATGTGGTCTTTATTATAAATTACATGGAGTAAATTTTTCGATTCGTTACTTAAAAATTTTTCCCTACTAGCAATTGTTATTCTATAGGTTAATCGACCAATGACATTAAAGAAAGATGGTATTCAAACTCGTAAACGTAAATCAAAAAAAGATAAATCACCTAAAACAATTGATGTTACACTTCTTAATAAGAACAGCCGTATGTCTATTTGTTTATTACTTTTCTTATTTTTGTTATTTGGTTTTTCTAGGACGAACTTCTCCAACAATATCTGAAGCAGCTGCATGTTCATCTGAACATCATCAACAATCGAATCTTGATTTATCATCACCACCACCATTATCACAAACAATGCCAGTACCTTCAACAAATTATGCAAATGGTTGTACACCTGATAATCTATTATTTTCATATGAAACATCAAATCCTCATCATCATTTTTATAATAATTATTATACTCCATCGCCACCTATTAAACAATTAGCATCACAATATGATTATCATCATCATCATCATCACCATCAACAACAACAACAACAACAACAATCACATTATTATCAAGGTCATTCAACACTTTTTACTAAAGTAAAACATGAAAGTCAACCATTATTTGCTACAAATGATAATTCATGGATTGGACAAACGAATTTTGGTGTATGAAATTAAATTTAATTATATAAAAATGTTTTCTTTTCTTCTTCTTTGTTTACGACTACTCATTGTCAGATATGTGTTTTCGTTTTTTTTTCTTTTCTTCTTATGTACAGTTTTGCTTGTTTTGTTCTCTTTTTTTTTTCTTTGCTTTTTTTCTTCTTCTCTATATTTTGTATAACAACAAAATACACGCAAAATCATTGTTTAATGATTGTCGAGCATGTTAAATTAATAAGTAAAAAGGAAATTAAGTTAATCATAGGTTTTTGGAACATGTGTAAAACAAGTAATGTTGCACGTTTACCCATACTCTACAGTCGGTAGCGCATGCGACTTTCGGTTCCAGCTATAAACGATTGTAGAAAGTGTTTTCTACTCAAATCGGAATTATTTATCAGAATATATTTTACTAATAAAACTTTTTTTTCAGTACCATCTATCATAAAAATTTAAGCTCATAACCGAGGCCGATTCGGACTCTGTGATTAGTACAGGTGGGCCAAACGCATCTACAGTAGAAAATATTCACCTGTTTAGATACAATACATGATGATTCGAGGCCATTGGGATTGGAACCAATCCGGCAAGCTCTAATCATGATATAAGACTTTCACAAAAGAAGAGCGGTATAATGCGCATGGTACCGATCGGTATACCACCAATAATTATCACATGGGAATAGATAGTGAAGAAAATTTGTTGTTATTTGATATAGAAACTTTGTTTTTGGTCAACATTAGTACTGTTTAAATTTGTTAATCATCTCAATTAAAAATATTCAATTAATAAATATTGTGATTATGAATATTAAAATTGAATAACCTATGATTTGGTTTTAATTTCTATTAGCTACAGGAGTTACTTTATCTTTAATTTGTAAGATAAATATAAATATAATCTTTATATTTATTAAATAAAAAATAAACAAATTTTGTTTCTGTGATAGGTCAATAAGCAAATACCTAGTATAGCAAACTGGATATTATTAAAAAATGAGGTTGATATATTTTTAAAAAAATGTATGCAAAATCTTTTTTGTATATTTTATTTGTATATATGATTTCATAAAATTTTTATTTTATTAGCTACCCAGTAATAATTTCTTTATTATTTATTCTTTATAATAAAGAGCAGTTAAAATCAAGTAACATCCCTAGTACACATTTCAGCCTGTTTAATCTTACTTATTTACTTTGTTGCTTTTATTAGATGCATTTCTGCAGAGAGTATCAAGTTTTTGGGATGTCAATCACATCAAATGAGACTATCTAGAGATCGAAATGGTACTGATTTTAGACTGATTCTAAACAGTGGCGCATATCAAAGAGACAAAACCTGTTCTTCTCTCAGTAGGACATGTTACTATATAGTATAGGCTTTGGCTTAAGCTCATTTGATAGAAAAATGTTTACACTACCAAGCTGTCATTTTTGTTTTTACAAACGTTTTTTCTTATACACGTAAAATAAAAAAGATTACTGATGACTCAATTGTCAAAATGCGGTTTTCTCTTTTATGGAAATCTCCATCGATTAATGGAAGCATATATTCTTCCTGTTGGATGCTAAAATTGAACAATGATAAAGTTTTTCTTGCTGAAAGGAAATTTTTTCTGAATTTTTTTTCTAAAATTCTGAGAGATAATATTAAAAGCTGCAGAATTTTATAAAAAATGTTCAAGTATATTTGAAAATTTCAGCAGATCTGTTATCAATAACGTTTCATCAATTATTGTTTTCTTTAACTGTTGCATTTTGACAGTTGAGTAGATCATAATTTTTTCACTTTTACGTCAATAAGAAAAAAATTCTTGTGAAAACAAAGTTCATTGCTTTGTAGCACAAACAACTTTCTATCAAATGAATCTAAAACAGAGCTTCTTCTATACTGCAAAATCACCTAAAGAGAGAAAAACAAGTTGTCCTCTTTGATATGCTCACTGTATTTCATAACATAACAAATATTGAAAAGATCTGTTTTACTTTTTTCCGATTTCACTGTTAGTATTACATACTGTGTATCGAAATTATTTTCTTTTATTCTTGACCTTAGTTCTTCTTTTTATAAGAAAAAAAAGTCTTCGACACAACTTTAACCGACAACAATGATCTTCAAATCCTCATTGAGAAATTAATCTTGTAGAACTGACGTATATTTTCCAAGAAAATAGTGAGTTTAAGTTTTATGCCGAAGTTTCGCGGCTTTCCTCTCTTATACCACAGTTGTCATTTAATCAATATAAAAGCGTTTAAATTAAGAAAACAAATAAGAAAATGTAAAATAACAAGTGAATAGCAACGATATAAACCAAAAGCACAATAGAATGCTCATAAAAAAAGAAAACATCCCTGTTGGCGATGCAGAAATAAATAAGACAAATCTTTACTTTGCTGATCGATTATCTTCGAACAGAACTGCAGTTTATAAGGAATTGTTCACTTCACTTATTTTGTATTAGTTTAATGAGGCTAAAGAATATATGTGGATTCCATATTTCAGCCCCAAACAGGGTGCACTAGAAACCTTTTTTTTCTCTATAAACATATTCAAACTGAATTAATATATTTTTTGTTTTTGTTTGATTTTATACGAGAGAATAATAATGTGTTATGTCTATCAAAGAAATTATATATAGATATCCGTAAAAAGATATCATTGCTACGAGCAAAAAAATATCAAATGCATATCCACATTCCTGTTTAGGAATAAATATGAGTTAATATTACAAATCGATATTTCTCAAGAAAAAAAGATCTTCTATATAGTATTAAGATAGATCAAACGGTATAAAATCATTTAGCATAATTGTAAAAGGAAATTATATTTCTACTGTGTTGACAAACATTTTCTTGCTTAAAACAAAAAAAAGAAATTCATGTATCCACAATGATAGTTTTTGTTCTTATATTTAAAACAAACGTCATTAGATTTAACCAAATTTTGGTATACCAGCAAATGCCGATGAGAATGCACGCCTGCCAAATTTTGGGATACCATGAAATAAACCAGCCGATAGACGTTTATGTTTTGTATCGTCATCATAAATGTCTTGTGAATGATCACCATCATCATCATCATCATCATCATCATTACCACCATCATTACAAATGCCATAAAATGCGCATAAAATATCTAAATGATAGAATTTATTTTGATGATTTCTTTTTGTTTGTTTTTGTTTTGGTTATAGATAATTACTTGTCTTTGAAAATATTGGTTCCATTATTTCCATTTTATCATGAATTTTAGTTGATAAAACTGATGGTTCATGATGTTGACTTTGATGAACGGATGGAACAGGTGATGCATAACAGTAGAAACTTAGAAGAAGAAGAATTAGAGCCGAATAATGACAAAATTGCTTGTTCATGATGATTAAGAAAATTCTTTTTTAATGAAATATATTCAGTTTTATTAATAAATTAATTAGATTCTAACCTTTTTTGATTTGTTTGTATTTGCCCAGAATTTATATCAATAATCTAAAATGATATAGAATTCAATAAATAAGACTTTTCTCTTTGTCTATCGTTCGATTCTATCAGCACGTTATAAAATTAGCTGAATGACACGTAGACAATGTCTCTTACTCATACAGACTATGATCAAATCATTCTCTATGCATGTCTACTAATATCGAGAAGCACATCTACTACACGCAATACGAGATTAAGAACATTCTAATAAATCAAGTGCTCTGCTTCGTGCAATGCTTTAACTATATACTAGTTAAACATAGGAATTCATTGTATGGTTTGTCGTTGACAGAAACGAAATCTAATAATACATGAGAGATCTGCAATCATATAGACAATAGAAAATTGTTATGATTTTGATAGGAAATAAAAAGAAATGAGAGACGTGAGTAGTGTATTCTCTATACAAATTGTCACATTCTTTATAAACATATCGAACGAAAAGAAACGACCAAAACATTCAAGCATAATAATCATTTTATATGATAAAATTTGATTTATTGTCCGAACTCGTATAAAAACAACGTACTCATTCATACTACATCATTACTATTGACAACAGAGGGGGAGGAAGAGAGTTAAGCGATAAAATCGACCCTCTCATAACATTGAGTTTCTTATTTCCTCAATAGTCAATTCGAATGTCAGCAGTCAATTGCCATTCGAATTAGACAGCTAGACCTTATTTTAATTATGTCTGACTGACGCAAAATTTCGATATTATTGATTTTCTACAGGGTTTATATGAAAAATTTATCTTCCGTCTTCAGCTCCTTTAATTTGATTTATATATCAAAATGAAAACTCTTTTCTTTCTCTATTGAATGGTACATATAAGTATGACGAAATATTGTTTTTTTCTTTAAATAATGCTGTTCTTTCGTACATATGTTACAGGGTTATCGATTAGGAAGTAGATAGCGGGAACTTTCATTTTCCAAAAATATCAAACTTTCGGCAGCTTTTTTTATAGTTTTGTGGGAAATCGTGAAAGAATGGAAATTTTATCTCTGCTTCTGACAGATATTCATACGAAAGTGCTTTCTCTTAGGCAACATACCACACAAAGTCGACGATTTTAGCATCTGCTGCTGTTCAATTTCTGTCGAAGTTTCAGTCACTTCCATCCTTAAATATAATCTCGAATCGTGATACAGTTGAGGACAACTATGGAGAAATTTCCCATCTATTGAGCTGTGAAAGTCACGGTTTCTTTTGAATACTTTAGTCAAATGTATGAGGTTCATGACTGCTAAAAGTTGCTCTTTTTGATTAATATTTAATCGATTTTGGTCAGAATAATCAGGCTTCGTATCAAAACAAATGATATATTTAGAATCAGCATAAAAAAAAATCCTTCGATAGCTTTATTTTCGTCCGAAAATTCAGTCCTGGTCCTTCTCAGGGTTAACAAATTTTGAAGTAACTTTTCATAGTCAACCTGACGTTTTGACTGGCTTTATTTTTCAAAATTAACCCTGAGGAGGAGCTCGACTGAAGTTTAGGACAAAAATAAAAGTTGTCGAAGGATTTGGCGACATATATAGGTCGATTGAAATTTTTATACGGATTCTAAATATATCATTCGTTTTGATAAGAAGCCTAATTATTCTGACTAAAACCGATTAAATATTAATCAAAACGGGAAACTTGTAGCTGTCATGAACCTCATGCGTTTGACTAAAGTATCTCGTCCACAAACTGAGCTCAACGCGCAACAGAATCATTTAATAGAGCTTTGAAAAAGCCTATCGAATGATATACAGCTCAAAGTGGATTCCACTCTGACTGTTCTCATACTGTATGTACGAAGAAACATCGTCATTTAAAGAAAAAAAAAACAATATTTCGTCATACGCATATATGCCATTTGATACAGGAAAGGAAGGGCATTCATTTGATATTTAAGTCAAACTAATGAGCTGCAGAAGGCAGACAAACTTTTCATATAAACACTACATTGCATAAAGTTATTTGAGATCGATAATATCGAGTTTTGCGTGAGTTGGACGCAGTCAAAATGATGTCTAACTGTCTAATTCGACCGGTAATTGGTTGCTGACATTCGAATTGACTAAAAGGGAAATAAGAAACTCAATTTCATAAGAGGCCTGATTTCATTGCTGAACAACTCCCCTTCTTCTTTTCTTTCTCATAAATGGTACAGATGCTACAAACATTACACATTATTTACGTTAAAAAAAGTGATATTCGCTTATGCTTCAGACTACCGTTTTATATGTTTTAGAGAAGAAAATTCTAGAAAAAAAAATAAAAATATATATCCGCAGTAAATGGAATGATTGTTCCTATCTTGATTTTTTGATTAATTATATTTAAGTGACAGTATGTCCGATTTCAATCTGACATAAGCTTAATACCATAACAATTTCTAATTAATCTACAATTAATATTTTATAGTTTATAGAATAAAATTTTTCCTATGAATTTACTTTGTCAATGTCAAGATATTCTTGAAACAATAAATAATATTATTTTAGTTTTATAAAAATATTTTATCATTCATATCAAATATAGATGAGTATTCGATTATAATTTAATAAAAGAAAAATTTTGTTTGTATAAAAACAAAACAAGTATTCACATCTTATATTCATAAATCTTCTATCAAATAACTTAATCATATTTCTAAATAATATGACAAATATTACAGAGTAAGCTACTTACTTTTGTCAACTAACAAAACTTTGATGATAACAAAATGAATATTTGGATTTAGGATTATCTTGTTTATATTTAATTATAATAATCAAAAAGAAATCTTTCGATTTATGATTTCATATAGATAATCTATTCGATAGGTTATTAACAAAACAAAAAAAACATGTCACCTGATGTTTCATCGTATGAACTACAAAACAAACTCATCTAGTAATAAAATAAGAAAACTCAACATTCGACAACGGCTCTTTTTTTTTTGTGTAGTGAGAAGCATAAAGCACAGTTCTTATAATATCTCTTTTTATGTCTTCTATGAATCGAAATCTAATTTGTTATATTATCTATGACGAGAATCGGAACATCTGTCAGCTATTGTTTAAGAAAAAATTTGACGAAGTACTGAGATATCAATAAGAATTTTTTCTCTATGAAATTCTAACATTACTTTAAAGTTCTATTTTGTTTGTCATCTGTTCTGATGTAATACAATATAAGAATTATACATAATGATGCTTCTTTTGATTCTAATTAGTTTTAAATTTGAGAGATCTATTTGAAATATAATACGATAACTTACAGTCATTAATATATTCGAAGAAAAGTTATATATTTGATATTTCACTCTTAGTGAAACTCCTACTTGACATAAAAAAGTCATGTTTTTTTTTACGACTGCCATTGGATCATGTTTGAAGTACACTATTCATATATAATATTTGACAGTTATTTGTTTGTATTTATTGTTGATAAATTAAAAGTTTGTTTTATTTAAACCTGCCAATGTAATATTGTTAAGATAGAAAAATTTAATTTCCAATATCTTGAAAGTTTCTATCGGTATTACTTGGATAATATAAAAACAAGAAATTTTGATAATACAATATCATTAGATTTGTAGTCAAAATAGAACTCTCAATACAATATTTCAACAGTTATTTATATCGTAAAAGAAAACAACAAGGAATTATTTCAATTCGGTATTAAAAAAGATATAATGACATGGAATGTCACTGGGTTTTTGATTGTTTCTCATGCAATTTTTCTTTTTGATTATTATGTTGCGTATGTGTTTTTTTTCCTTTTATAGTTAATCGTCATAGTCATATCTCATGTCGATTTCAGTTTCACGTTTAATCTAGATTATAATTGAATTTCATTCTTTGGACAATCATAAATTGTTTCTCGTTCAATGGATCTTTTTAATATGTCAATACGTTAATCAATCTTTTTTTTGATTAGATTCACAACTATGTGAATGAATCGTATTATCATTTTTTCTTCTTTTTTCTTTGTCAAAATAATAATATTGATGGCAACAAAAACAAAAACAAAAAGAAAAAACTCAAAAAGCTTTTGGTCGTTTTCGTGCCGTATATTTTGAATCGGGTCGAACATCTCTAAAAAAGAAAAACGAAACAATATTAAGTTTTCTTGTATTAGTACAAAGCCGATTATTAAATACACATCAATTTTTTGACCAGAAAACAGGGTTTATGCAATTTCATAGAGTAAGACTTCTCCTATCCAACAGTATATATGGGGTTGCCCAGTCTAGCCGGAAGCTCCATCGATATTTTTTCTATGGTAAGGATAAAACATACTATTGTTCGGGTCATATGAAAGAGGATCATAGATAACCCCTACATTGGCCCGAACAATACCATGTTTAGCGTTTCTCCACTATTGTAAGAATAAAACATGGTATTGTTCGGGTCAATGTAGGGGTTATCTATGATCCTCTTTCATATGACCCGAACAATAGTATGTTTTATCATTACCATAGAAAAAATATCGATGGGGCTTCCGGCTAGACTAGGCAACCCCATATATATATATTATTTAATGCTGTTGCGTACCGTAGAAGAAAATTAAATTGAAAATAAAAACAATGGATTTTGCATTTATTTTATCTAGTTAAATAATCTAGGTCATTTTTCTTCTTATTCGAATAATGATGTGATTTGTAAGAGTTTGAAAAAACAACTTTTACATATCTTTAATAATACTACGTAGAACAGTATTTACAGTTTTATGTTTAACAATCTGAAAGATATTTCAAATAAACAGAATCAGAGGGATTTCTTTGCTCTTTAGAATAATATGTAGAGCAGAGTGGGACACAGAACAACTATCATTTATCTCCCAAGGTGTGAGAGCTAGAATGTTTGTTCGATGTAGCTTGTCACACTCTACTTATGCTATAAGAATAGCAGATTTGGGCTGAAGTTTCAGGCTTCTAGGAAGGTTTTATCGCTGTGTAACGCTGTTATATAGAAAGACACCACTGGTAAAACTCAAATTTCTTGCGAAAGTATTTCTTCGAATGAAATGCTTCGAGAACTAGTATTTTAGAGCATAGAATGAACTTTTTAGCATTGAAAAACAAACGTAATGCTATTAAACAGTTTTTTGTCGACTAATTTTAAATGAATTCTGCATCGAATGGTATGTCACTTAGTATTTTTTGAAAAATTTTCTCGATTAGGAGATTTAAAATTCGATTTTTGAAAAGTTTAAAACTTGATTTTCGATGCCAACGTCCAAATCTTTTAGAAATTTTATCAGCAAACTCTCGTATTATATGGATAAGCTGTTGTACAGTTTTATTTCTGCTTAATTCAACAATAAAAATTGACTTTACTAATTGAAAAGATTCGAGAAATTTTTTCGTTGTGTATGAAGGTTAGGAAATCAGACAAAGATCACAATACACTCGAATATGTTTGTCGTATTTTATTCATTTAAATTGCACTAGAAAAAAAAAATTCTCCAACGAGTTTGACTAGAAATATCTGGGGAAAAAATGCCATTCTGTATTTTGCAGTATAATGCAATTTCTCCTAAACGATATAAGATCAAGAACTGAAACTTTTCACCACTTATATAGTTTTACATTTTACAACTATTGTAAAAATTTAAGTCCGATAGAATAACTCATTAAAAAGTTATAGAGCAGACAATTTTCAAAATGTCACTCTACAAAGTGTTTTTTTAGAAAGTCCTGTTTCGTTTTTCTTTAAAATAAAGCTGACCAAATAAATTAAAATCAATTATATATTTTGATAGACCATCGAACGTTATACCAACTGGACTGTTTATATAATTTTCGTCTGGTCTTATTATAGTCAAAAAGTTTCTTTTTGTTTGTATATGTCACCAAAAACTGATGCTTTCTTGTAATATGTCTCTCATAACTCAACGACTGTTTGAGATAGAGAATTAATATTTGGTGTGGTTGTGGAACAGTTAGAGGAAAACCAAATGTGAAAAACTTATCTTTTGTCAGTCAACGAAAACGAAAATTATTAACTGAATACAGATAAAATTTCAATCGTACCAAAAAGTTGCAATTCACTCAAATACAAGAAAATATAGAAACATATTGATTTATTATTATAATGACGCCTACAAATATAAAAAATGTAGCTGAATAAAGAGTGCTTGATAACAATATTGATACAAAGAAAAACTTATAGAAAACAGAGGTGGCTATTGGTCAATGTTTTCTATCCTGTGACCATCTCTAAATGTGGAGTAGTCCTAAGCTACTATAAGTTATTCGATGTTTTTTTTATGACAGATAGGGAAATATATATATAGGTGCCTAAAGGAAGATTTTATATAATAGTGTGTGCATTATCCAATTCTATTGGGTACTGTTGACATGTTGATAGGTGGCCTCGCCTATTGACATGTCAACAGTACGCGGTAGAATTTGATACTGCATACGTCATTTAGACAGAGAAGTCCTTTTTTTTACAAGCCTACGTGTACCCTGTTCTTCAGTCAAAATCTTAATGTCATCTTTATTAATACTTTACTGAAACATAATTATGTAACATTATGCGTGTCATACATAATTATCACAGACAGAAGATCTTACAAAAAGAGTTCCGGAACACGAAGAGAATCGCAAAAAATCAGCAGATATAGCCAATGAATGTTAATATTAAATAATTGTCGATCTTTTTTAATCTTAATATTGTTTTCTCTCATCGGTTATTTCGAAAGAGCAAATAACTCTTTATAATCCTGTATATTTGAAATCTATTTCACATTGTCAAACACGAATCTATAAATACTGTTTTAAGTTGTATTATGAAAAATATGAGAACATTTTTTTTCCCAAACTTTTATAAGTTATGTCATAATTTGAACAGAATTTTATTAAATATACACCGTTGGATAGAGGAAATCTGTTCCCTGATCAAAATCTCTACAATCGTTTTTGAAGCATATGATTAAGTTTTTCTATTGTTTATTAATATCATACCTTCCTTTGTTTCTCCAACGTTCTTTTTTTTCCACAATCCATGTTCGACTTTTTTTTAATGATTTACCACGAAGATTTTTATAACGTTGTCTATAATATAAAAAATTTTTTTTCTGTTGTTGCATTTGTATTGTTTTTTCCTTACCGTTGTTTATCAAATCGTGCGTGAGTTGGCATTTCTTCACTACCTTCTTCACCTGCTAAACCTTTAGGTAATTGTTGAATTTGACCACCAGCAAACAAACATAAAAACATTCTTTACAAAAAAAAAAACGAACAAGAAATAATCATTCATAGTTACAGTAATGGACAAGTTTCTCACACCTTTCGTATTCCGACTAATATACATATTCGTGAAGACCCTTGAAAAAGATTATCTACTCAATTTTTTCGTTACCTGTTATCAAATACATAGCTGTCTCTATACGAATACGATGAGTATTCAGATAGCATTTGTATTTGAAACTTATCAGCAATAATGCTTAACTACAGACCAAGCTCATGTACAAGTTTCAGTTTGATTCACTAAACTATTACTGAGTAATGATCTCCAAAGATCAGTAATTAGTTTTTTCCTATCCGGATGTAATGAAGAATAGACCGGCTCACAAAATTCTTCTCTTTTCACAATTGCAAAGTTTAAAGGACAAATAGTTGCGACCCATCATAATTCTCATTCCATTTAAACAATCGAGATAAGCTCGTGTCCCAGATCTACATTCTTAATAAAGTATGTGCATACAAATTTTCCGACCTTTAGTATGCATGATAGGCGAGATACAGCGGGATGGGAAACTTTTGTTCTCTAGTTTATATTTACTTCTTTGCTCGTGTACTATTTGGATAATCTACAACAAGACCACCAGTAAAACCAGCTTTCATTGCTTGCTGTGTGATCATATCAACCTGAAAATAAGAAAACATTAAAAAGAAAAAAAAATAATTTAAGATTTACGTGATTTGGTGTTTCTGGATAAAATTGTAGTACAGCTCGAGCACCACGAGCCTAAATAAACCATAAAACAATTCAAAAAATCTTTATATTTTTTTCTATATTACCAAACAACTATAAAGTGTTGAAAAAAATTTATAAAGTCGCTTTACTGGATTATGATAACTTTTATCAGCTTGACATAACCATTGTAATGCTGAAATACTAAAAAGAACATAATACTTGAAAAATTTTCCATTTAATTTAATATATCATTCAATACCTTATAGCACCATCGAATGAACCAGCACGAAATGGCATTCCATAACCAATATCACCTAATATAAGATCACCTTCAACTTCTCGTTCTTGTGCTACATCTAAACATTCACAACAAATATTAATATAGACCTTATGAGAGAACATATCCTATAGTATCGAACATTGTTTTATGGCTACGAATAAGTCTTGGTAAGACTAAGATAAGCGTTTCAATGAAAATGAATATGTATTTCTTGAGATATTCAATCTTGGAGTAGACTCGGCTTTTGTGTTTACTTATGATTAATAACTTTTAATCAGTAGTCTATAGACTTGAATCCTTTTAAGCTTTTCTTAATATCATTAAGACTTCTTCGTAGTTATAAAATGACGTCCGACAGTTGGAATATGTTCTGTCGTAAGTTTAAAAAACGAACCTAACATTGCTTGTGATATATCAAGTCCAACCCATTGATGACCTAACTCTGTTAGTACTTCTCCACTTAAACCAGAGCCACATCTGAATAACAAAATGATCGAATGCATAGAAATGTTGTTTTTATTTTCTTACCCGATATCAAGTACTAAGCATGATTCTTCATCAGGTAAATTAAGTAATTCAATAGCACGTTCAGATAATTTTGTTTGTACATCAATAATATGTGTACTAAAAAATGAATATGTATTTTCTTTTAATTTGTATTTATAAACAGAATATACTTTTGCGAATATTTTCGAGCTTCTTCTTCGTTATAAAACTAAAAAAAAACAATTAATTAAAAAAAAAATTTATTGTCAAAGATTAATATGTATATATATATATATATATATCAACATACTATATCCGGTGGACCTTGATGTTCAGGTCGTTTTGATGCCATGATGAAATTTTCGGTAAGTAATGTATTATGAAAATCTACTTTATACTTACTTATTAACGATCTATGTTTTATTGGAGAAAATTAATGAACAATATACGTATTAAAACGATAGATGACACTCTATAACAATACAAGAAATCAAATTGTGAATTTTTTCTAAAGCATTTACTTAGATTTTTTAATGTTTTAATTTAAGAGACAAAAAATTTTTGTTCCAGGCCAAATTCAATTCACTTACGATGGTAAAACAAAGCTTGTGATCTGAATTTGATGAGAAAATCTAGACGTGCTACCGTATTAACAGAAAAAAAGTCGATGAAGTTCATTTTACTATTCGAAGTATATTAACATCAAGTGTTTTGACTGTTCGAAATGTTTGTTTTTCCAACAACATTCTAAATTGTAACAGAACTTACTAGGAAACCTCTTCTCTTCAGCCGTCAAATCGCTTTCAAACCGAGACGATGTTCATTTGATGAGTACTAGTAAGCAATAGAAAAGTCTGGAATTGTTTGGTTTTCCAGACGTGAATCTTCGTTCTCGAGATGGTTTTTGTCAATAAACAGCTGTGGTCACGTAAATATCGGCTTTCGACTTCAAATTTTGCATAAACAAAGTTCTTAATGAAATTAGTTGATTGTACAACTAGTATTTCCTTTTTGGAAATATAAATATACGAAAAAGCATTTGCTTTTACAAATAAGAGATTTTCGAATATTCCATATCTCTTGATAGGAGATATTAGAAAACTTACAACTTGCCCAATGAACTAATCTAATTGAAAACTTTGTTCATGCAAAGCTCGAAAGTCGATGACTTTTCTATGACTCATCAAATGAACATCATTTCGATCGAATAGCGATTTGACACCTGGAGAGGTTCCTTCATCAGCTTAGTTCGTAACTTAACTTAGAAATTAATTTCGTTATTTATTTAAGTTAGCTATTCACTCAGTTCATGACTATAATTACTGAGTACAATTAGTATCAATGCACAGAATATTAAAACGTTTCTAATACTACAGAGATTATCTCGGAAGATCACCAAAATGTAAATTACCGAATTTCGACAAAGAGTACAGTGGACGTCATAAGTCTCGCCCTACTTTCGTATTTTGAGTCGTCCATTTGAACTAAACAACGTTGATTTAATTTGATTATATATTCTTGTAGCGGAGATCAAGCACTATCTGTATACACCTGTTCCATACGGAAAACTCTCGGAATATAAAATAAAATAGGCAAAGCAATCTTCCGTCCTACGAAAAAAATGATACAAAAAAAGACAAAGTGATAATAAAAATGTTTAGAAGACTTTTCTATGCAATAGAAATTTGTTTACGCTGTTTTTGCCGAGCTTTTGACGCTGCATCTTCTGAAGGAAAAATCAAGGTGCTATCGTTATCTCGAGTCGAGATATATGCAAAATATGAAAGTCTTTCGACCATTTTTATTAGGTGAAAAGTAGCACTCTTATGTACTTTTTTCATTTCGAATGCGAAAGAAACCATCAGTACGAATTAATGGAAATTGGTTTCTACAATTTTTATAGTACTTGTCACGACACATCTTTTGATAAAAAAACCAAAGCTTTATCATTTGTTTGTGCAGGGATATATGCAAAACAACTTATGCTACTAACGTTTCGGACCATAGTGTTTAATATTTTGATTATAAAACTGTCACTTCTGCATGAAATTTAAAATATTTTTTTTATGAAAATAATCAGCACAAAAAGCTCTACAAAGTATGATAAATGAAGAACTTTTCTCAATACTTCGTTTATTTTGTAGTTGACTGTGCATATGACAACAATATCACTTTGTCTTTTTTTGTGTCATTTTTTTCGTAGGACTGAAGATTGCTTTGTCTATTTTATTTTATATTCCGAGAGTTTTCTGTATGGAACAGGTGTGTACAGATAGTGCTCGATCTCCGCTACAAGAATATATAATCAAATTAAGTCAACGTTGCTTAGTTCAAATGGACGACTCAAAATACAAAAGTGAGGCGAGACTTATGACGCCCACCGTATTTCAAATAAAATAAATGCGGAAACCTTGGATTTAAATCCGAGTGTTATGTGTGCTTCAAAAAGTAAACAAGTGAGTCATCATAGCATGTGTAGACATCAAAATCATTCTAGTAAGCCATTTTTCTTAAAACTTGATTGCTATTGGTTACTGCTCACCCAATAGGATTTTGGGACAAATGTAGCTCAGATTTGAACTCTTCGCCTTGTAATACTCTAAGAAAGTCGTTTTTTCTAAAACTTGATTTCTATAGGTTACTGTTCAACCAATAGGATTTTGAGGCAAGTGGAGCTCAGATTCAAGTTCTCCACCCCAGAAAACCTTTGTTCAAGTTTAATAAAACCTCGAAGTACCGCTTCTCTGATTGGAAGATGGGGTTTTAATTTTCGACCGATCACAGCGTGAACAAGCACAAGCAATTTTCGTTCAAGTATCTTTGCAATAGGTGACTTAGCCTTCTTGTTTCTTAATGTTTTATATACCATTTTGTAGCTCGTGAAATTCTCTATCGAATGGTATACAATAGCGTGGGGTTTTGTTTGATTATGAGAGACAAATTTCTTTTACGAAAACCAAGATAGGTCAATAATCGCATAGAAAAGCATAGGGGAAAATCACTTTTTTTGTGATAACTCAGCAATGGCTCGACAAATCATCCTCATCTTCGAACTCGACCGAGACATTATTGAGACAATACTGCGTAGAAAATTTCATCAAGATCGCACTCTCCTTTCAAAAGATATCGTGTAAACGGCCGGACGACCGGACACACTGACCGATTCTAGAGTGTACTCACTTTTTGAGTACACAAAAATGCATTTTCACAGAGCAATATTGCTAAAGCAAATAGTACAATGGGAAAACAACTGACTTTATGACTTAAATGGTCTAAATGATCTACGTGATCTAAATGACTTTAAAGTAATAAAAGTCAGTTGTCTTCCTCTTGGATTCTGCTCATGTTCATTGTGGGTGTCGAGTTTCCGTTCGTCTAATGAAACAAGTAAATAATTTTCCATAGTCTAGCTGTTATCGACATTTATAGACACGAAGATCCTCAATGTTTAAAATCGAAATTGTAAGGCACTCTGGCCCATTATTATACGCATGATATTTTTCAAACTCAAGAAATCGTCATCATGACAATCGACGAGTATGAAAAATAATCAGACATTATTGTTTTTCTGATTCTAATTTGTTCATTCACTGTAAATGCGTGTCATCCTCAGAGAATTGTGTATATTCAAAGACACTATGACAAACTCATATTCTACAGAAACTGAATGGTATGAATATAATTGAAATATAAAGAATCAAATACAAGTACTGGACGCGGTTCGGTCTTATATTTTAGCTAGGGAGAACTCAGCGAGCCTAAGAAAGTCTTAATAAGATTCGCGATCGTAATCTATACATCAAGAGTTATGATTGTTTTACTGGAATTCTGATGTATACGTTGAAATGTTGAATTGCAAAAATTGAGGTCTGAAATTCTTATCTAAGATACGTTTCATAGACTTGATAATACTCTACAAGTTTTCGCTAACAACACTTTTGCTTTATCAAGATAGTGAGTATTCATGTAAACTCGGTTTGTGTGCGAGGTCGTCGACAGATAATTAGGTTTTGAAGATCCAACATCACAACAAAAGAACATTAAAGTTGCAGTTAATACTTTCATGGAGCTGTATGAACTACCAGACTTGTGTAAGAACAGAATTGCAGGCGTAAAATTCACAATCCAACATTCCCGATGAATATACCTACGCATACGCACAAAATATACCAAAGGAGTCCTAACACTTGACCCACAGGATATGGCTACGAACAATGGTGAATTTAGGTTTCTGGAAGAGGTGGAACGATGAGTAAAAATGAATTTGAAGACCCATTCGATCTAGTACAAACTAGCTTTTCGCTTCTTGTTGACGGTAAAAATTCTGCCAGCGGGAATGATTACTTCGTTGTCCTCCTGCCTAAATTCGCTACTGGTCGCGAGTTAAACTTGGGTTTTCTTAGTTTCACTGAGTCCCACTCATAACCAGAACATGAAGTCAAATAGCATCTTACAGTTGAATATGTTTCTCTGTTAGTCTCGTTTTTCAATATTTTCAGCTTGAAAATAGTCGTCGCTTTTCTTATTTCTAGTTTTTCCATATGTTCATAATCACCAGATTCTCTAATAATATTTATTCATCTACTTTTTGATAGGGTATGGGTGTGACTTTTTTCTACACGATTTTGAAAGGTTTTTCTTTTGTGCCTTATGTTCCTTGTCTGAATCTAAGATGTCTGTTGCGAATATATTTGATAGAAGATCAAATCACTTGTCTATTCAATAATATTTTCATGTTTTGTCTTGAATTGAAGTTCAATAAATTAGATATGATATGTAATGGATAACTTATCAACGAATGTTGCTTTTTTCTAGACAATAATCTGAAAAATTGATTAGAATACTTCTCACACAGGTAGATGATATCCACCGATAGTTGATTTTGATGAAAGTGATAAAAACAATTTTCATTGAGATGCTGTTAGAAAATATTTGAGTTGTTGCTTGATACGAACAATTTTGATTAAGTTCGACAAAAAACTATTTATTGACAATAACTGTTGAGAGAATTACTAGAGTCTTCATAATATGAATCAATAGATAGACAGTATTACATGCAGATTTCAGAATAATGCTGTCAACAGGCCAGACCAAAACCTAAGAGAGTTAATTGCCGTGAGGTTTGACCTGCACATCAAAGTCAGTAGAGATAGATACTTACGAATAGGTATTTTTAATTCTGATATCGAGCGCAAAAATAACTCAATACTGCCAACTGCGATACGATTCTAAAAATGATAACACCAATGCCGATTTCAATTTACAAAAAAATTGAAATCGAAAACAAGGAACATAAAGATCTCACAAAACTTCAACGGTTTTCAAGAGACTTGATAGAACTTCAAAAGACCTGAAGACCAATACAGTCTGCTATTTTTCCTTACCAAAGAGTTACATTAGTCCTTCAAAAACTCATTTAAAAAGCGTTTAAAGAACCATAACAGAATAAGTCACTAGTTGTTTTCAGAAAAAAAAACATTTCGATTGGAAATGAGCAACTTCAATCTCAAAAGGTGTGGGGTGTTGATGTTTGTGTGTGTCATGTGGGTATGAGTATGAGTTCTCTTTTCGACCATCCATACCCACCCACACCCATTTTATGTCAGTTCGTTTTCTGGATCGGATAAACTCTTGATAAGTTAAACAAAATATTGACATCCGGCAGTGACCAATACAATCGAGTAAGTTTGGTATGTGTTTCGCTGTATGATGCTGACGTTTTCGCTATCAAAATATTTATCCACTGAAAAGTTATATCATTAATATATTTTCCGTTTTATTCAGAAAAAGCTATTCATTACCAAGCGTATTCATGTTCTGACAATGATTTTTCATGTATTTCGAATATTGCTGCCACTGTGTATGACTATTACAGCTTTCTTTATCACATCGCATGCACTCGGTCAGATTTGTGACCCCCACATCGTGAATACCAATCTATATCCAAGAAGACTTGTGTGTTTAAGCGTAAAGAAAGCCACTCCGATAACACTCAAAGTTTATTTTTAACTTCTGAACAGCAGCAAAGAATTCACTGTCGAGGGTTTGTATTTTGCTCGCAACAGATGCTCAAATGACCCATTGCTGACAGAGTGTCGATCTTTGGGTTGCAGCTAAGTGAGCGTCACGAGTACTACTGGTTGGCAGTAAAAGCGAGAATGCGAATTCACATGTCCAGACGGAAATAATGCCATGCAGACGTGCCGATTCGTGCAAGACAAATTCCGATCTCTATCGGATGCCATAAAGCTCATGGATTGCATTACGCAATCTTTTTGGCGATATACATCATATGACAGCTACTTATGTAGTTGAAGATCGGACACATGGTTAGCATTCCACTTAGAAGTTTTTACCGTTGTTCCATCGCAACAGAGTCTTCTGTATGAACTGTAGAAGAACTTATTTCTATTATTATCATGAAAATATTATGTAAACAATAGAAATTTTTTGCTATGTACTTTCGTAATTTTCTATATATAGTTTAAACGCTATTGTTAATAAACTAATTCCTTATTGGACTAACCAGCTTTTCAAGATTTCTAAAAGCTTTTGGTGAAAATATAGGTAAAACATAACTCTTATCTTAAATATGAAATATCAGTAGATTATCGTCATTGGCTGAGTCATGGTACCCAAAAGAATTAACGGTCATTTATAAGGAGAAAAGCAAATATATACATAGAAATTAATGAACAGACAATACAATTTATTAATAGTTTTCATTAGCAGTAAGTTGTATGTTACACATGTTGTCAGTAACAGCATTCATTACCATTTCATCATTTTTCTGAGGTAATACAGGTATATTGGCTAATGCTACTGCAGCTACTCGTGTAGTTCCGATTGGTTGATCTAATGAGCTTCGATTGACACAACTTAATTGAAACTGAGTCGATGTATAAGCATAAAACATTGGAATCCATATAAGTGATGTTTTGGCAAAACACGCACAAACGAAAACTGTCATTGGTGGTATGGCATAATCTTTACCTCAAAATGCCGAAAGAAAAAATGCCACTGCATAAGGAGTCCATGTGAAAATAAAGCCAATAGTCGTAATAATAATAACTATGTCAAAAATTTAAATATTATGAAAACAAATGATATTGCTACGAAACAATTCAATGCAATAACAATAAAGACTTACTTTTAAGAATACGTTGTTCCATTTCAATTCGTCTACGACTAAATACTGTTTGAAAACCATTTTTTATTTTTTTGTGCATTTGTTTAAGTTCAAACCAAGTAATTGTATTTGCGGTAATGAGAATTATAAGTGGAATGCAATAGACAACGATGAAAAGAAAACCTATGAATGCAACGTAAGAAGTACGTCGATCATACCAATTAATACAGCAAGAAGTACGAGTTCCCTAGAAGGAAAACACAGACAGTCATGATATTTCACGATGAATATGACTTAAATTCATTATAGCAAAACAGAACTGGTCAACATTTACTTCCATTGTATATTCATTCCATCCCATTACAGGTAACATAGTCCAAAGAAAAGCTATAAGTACTAGAAGACTGGAAATAATGACACAATTTTTCACCTAGAGTCGTTGTAACATTAATTTTTTTTCTTGTTAACAACAATTATTTACTTACAGTAACATTTTTAGCTTGAAATGGTCGAACAATAATATAAAATCGACTAATACTTGCTCCACAGAGTAAATACGAACTTGAACATCCATATAAATATGCAATAATAGCGCTTAATTGACAACCTGTACGTTGATATAGCCACTGACAATAAATTGAAGATGTACCTGTCAATGGTAGTATTGTGAATGAAGCAAAAAGACCCACTCCCGTGATAAACATAACGAATATATTTGGTGGTGAACGAAGAGTCTTGTATCGTACAAAACTGTAAAATAGAGCTCCGTTCAAAACAATACCAATCACCGCAGCAATACATAAAAATATGCCAACAATACGAATCCCATTACAATTAACTGGTGTTGGACGACTCCAAAATAAAGGATCATCACGAGATAGATGTTCATCAATAATTGAAGAATAATTAAATGACATTGTTAATGTTCTCTTTGAATAATATAGAATGACTATATGTGTAAATCTACTTTTCTTTTTCTTTATATTCAACTAGATAAAGAGAGAAAAAAAAACCTGTATGTATTTTGTGTCTACAAGTAGAAACATTTCTCTTCGGTGATTCTTTCTCCCAAGTGCAATCTAGTGAATGTGAATAGACATTAATCACATAAATTATAGAAATCAATTATTATGAAAATGAGAATAACTATAAAAAAATAATTCATAATTATGTATACCAGACGATTCGTTGAAAATAGAAAGTATATGTATTTCAATATTTATTATTCGCGAAACATAATCGAATTAATCCAGAGAGAGACGATATAGGTCAAAATATCGATATGTAAACCGTGTAAAATGTCTGATTAGTTACTAAAACCTCATTAAAACAGTTTAAGATTAATCATTTTTTAACACATTTTTGGTAATTAATGAAATATTTTTAATGATTCAGATGATTTTGATGAAAACGCCTAGTAACAATTAGCAAACATATCGTGCAAACTATAAATTAACAAATGTACATTTTTCTATAATAAGTGATATTCATCAAGGTTTTTGTTTCAATTGACTAACGATATAAGTGCTCTTTAAAGTAATTAGCGTTAGCCGAGATACAAGAATTTAGCTTTTTTCCTGGTTCTACAATAGTATCACGCAGAGTTCCTTTTTCAATTGTTTAGCTTTTTGGAATTATTCTGATCTGTGCTAATAACAAGAAATGCAATGTAATAATTATTATGGAATTAGAAAAAAGGCTATATTCATAAATCTCGGCGAAAGGTAATTACTCCAAAGAGCATTTTTATAGTTTTCTCATAGAATTAAAACGTAGATAGTGTCATCTATAATACAAAATAATTGTCGATGCAGCTCCATGAAGGACCACGATGTGTAACTCACAAAGTGACTGTTAAACTTTCTTTCACTATATTTTCCTCGATAATTCATCCCCAAAAACGGACTCTCGAATTTCGTTTGTTTTATATGTTTCTTTTGTCACTTTAAATATTCTATCTCGTTGAAAAATGTCAATATTAATTTCTTGTTTCTCATAGATACTAGAATGCTGTGTTCTCAAATGTCATTTACAACAACTAAACGCATCTCAGTGAAGGCATGAATATCCTTTTGTTAGAAAACTTGATGTTGATTCTTTTTGTAGTGAGAAACTGAAACTTCATATTTAAAATAACTGACCAATTAGATTGTTAAGTGAATACATTTAATAATATTATAAGCAGCATACAGATTGATGAAAGAAAATGACGAATCACTAATCATCTAACAAGTTTCTGATACTTAGAAAACTACAATCTGAATTGCAATTACTGACAAATGTTCTATTCGATTGACAATATTAAATTTATTCTTATCTCAATCAATTCATCATATTAAAATTTTACAAGAAGATTTAATTGAAAACAAGAGTGACATGTTATAAAAAGTGAGAACTGTGCCAAGCTTCGAGCCCATTCTAAAACTTACGGTGTCATTTATGCACATGTGTTTCTCTCTGCTTTCATTTTCAGTAATGAGATTTTCTATAGTTTAGTCATTCATCGAAGATTAGAAATTAATTTAATAATTAGTTGAAACTCTAATCATCTCAAACAATTCATCCTATATGCGTACTCGTAGCAAACTTTCTTCATCAACACTTTGACTGAAGAATAATTATTTTGGAACTCTGCTATTCTAATGCTTGACGAATGATTCTGACATTTGTTTTCTGTCTATCATACATAGACTGATCACCGTAACTTAATTAATATCAGAACTGTTCAAACAAACTCACCATTACTGACAATACAGTAAGTTTGTGTACTCAATGGAAATAAAAATTGGAATGAAAGTAAAATTGTTTCGTATGTAGACGAATGATGAACTTTGTTTCTATCCAATCAAGTGAACAAGAGTTAAGATAACTATTCAAGCAGACAGAAAAATAAAAAATTTCATTTCTTTTCTGATATATCATTCTAATGAATTTTTGATTCGTGTAGAATCTAGCAATCCATCTATCTAATTACTTAATTACCTATCGATCTAACTACGTACTTAAACCCGTAGACGAACATTTTACTTCATCTCTCTTTTAATCTGTATTGCATCTCTTTGGGTTTTGATGAATATCTATTACAGAATGTCTTAAATACATGATTTTAGCATAGGTAAGACTGATTATAATTTGCTTTAACGAAGAGTGTTCATCTTTCAACACTACGTGAATCTCTTGGCAGGTTTCTTCGTGATTTGATAATATCCATTTTGAATCTGCTAATCTTTTAATTGCTTTTGTCGTATTTAGACCTCTATCGTCAATAGTACATTGTCGATGGGTCGTTGAGTCGGTAGCAAAGAGAGCTTAGTAGATAGAAAAGCAGTAATACGATTAGTAGATCCCAAACAGAAATAATAAAGTCAAGAAGAAATATTTAAAGTTACTCATTTGTGGTAATTATAAATGGTATTGAAAGATGCACAGTTTTCATTGAAGCAAATCATAATGAGTCATTTGCTATACTAAAATAAAATGTTGAAGTCGTTCTTGTAATAAATATTCAGTGTATACCAAACAGATACAATAAAAAAAGAATCTTTTATCGTAATCTCCTTCGGGAGTAAAGAGTAAAACACGATATAGATATCTGTGGTTTTAGATGGAAAAATGATTTCATCAGATACTTCAATTGATGTTATGTATCCATGGTGTAGATTATGTTTCCTAAGTATGATATGCTTCGTCTTTGATAAAGCACAGGTTTATATAATGAATTCAAATGAGTTCCATAAATATATAATTTCAAATTTACTTGAGTTTCTTAGCTATATTTATAAAGAAATATAGGGAGTTCAAATGTTTGCCTCTATACTCCAACACTAGTATAAGACTGTGTTCCGCAAAAGAGGAAAGAGAAAAGACTTTTGATCAGAAGTGGAACTAACTATTGACCTTGCCTATCCTATCAGAATTTAAAAAGATGCAATGAAAAAGATGTCTTGTTTCATTCTGGATATAAATACTTGACTGCGTCAAATGTGGGTGTTACACTTGCATCATCGTTCTCGAATTTTTTCTCTCCTCTCCCATATTCTCCATTATCACCTACATTCATAAGAGAGAAAATTTAGTCAAGTATGAGGATAGTTATAGGGAGAAAAATCTTTCATGTATATTATAGTAGAGAAGAAAAATACATTGAAAGACATATATAATATAGAGAATGCAGACAGAAAGTTAGAGAACATACGGTGACAGTTTATATCAATCTATGATATTAAAGCAAATGGGAATACAATAAGAAAAATAATAGTTTTTCTACTTTTTCATGTCATTTCTCCTTAGAAGAATACGAAAACGAATAACTGACATAGTAAAGAGTTTATATGCACAGAGCAGAATATTGATTATATTTATATTTATTTTTATTTTCTGCCAAATACTTTTAATCAAAATTAACTAATCTTCTCGTGACCAAGTAATCGATTGAAAGAATTCTATTGAACTAAAACTGTCTTATCGTATCGATATTAGGACAAATTATTATGTTATTACTTTTTTTAATAAAAAGCATAGTTATTAACTGTGAAATGTTCATTTTAAATGAATAACTAACTCAAATATTCAACCTACTATGAACTTAAGCTTTTGCATAAATGTTAATCGAAGGCAAAATATAACTTCCAGTTATTTTAAATATTTGGTTGCTCTTTCGATAAAGGCAATTGTCTAACTTGAATCATTGATTTACATATCATACACATATTCATGTTATCAGCAAAATCTGAATGAAAAAGAGGCCAACTTGGGATACAAATCGATTAGACTAAACCGGCTAGAATAACTCGCATACACTTTTTCTTTAAAAAAACAAGGATTTCACCCGTGCATATTTGTTAATGTCATATTAGTCTTATGAAAGAGATATTTTTCATAATGCTCTCTAGAATAATTTGGAAGAATGTGCATAAAACAATTGCATGCATCTGATGACTTTTTTTAATGATGCACAATGTTTTTATGTTTCATACACTTGGAATTTCTTTAGATAAGAAAAATAAGTATTACTGTTTTACTGAGCACGTTTTTCTTTTTATACTTTTAGTACATCATATTCAAGTATCAAACATTTGTTAACGAAATGTTGCTATAAATAATTTTCTTTTGACAAATGAGATGAAATGATGCATTTTGACTATAAGATTAAAAGAAGTTCAAGAATAAGAAGCATACTCGGTTTTTAAATAATTGAAGATTGATAAGTGTCGTATAAGTTTATTGGGCAAATGGAAAAAAAAAAGAAAGAAAAACACATTTGAAATTAAATAAATGGGAACATTTCATAGTACTAATAAACAAACTGGAGATTATCTACAAAAAAATCCAATACATTTGAAAGAATTATGATCAATTATAGACAGTATTGTTCACTTTATTACACCTATGAGAGATTGAAACGCATATAAAGATTTCAACTCGGTTTCGGCTCGGATATTTATGGTTGAGTGAAAAAAAAGAGACTAGTTTTGTTTCAATCTTCTTTTAGAAAACCTCATGGTTTTAAATGAAACTATTACTGATAATTTCAGAGAAAGTTTTGCTATCGGGAATATTTTTAAGATGAGTTTCAATAAATTTATTGCAAATTTATCAGCAATGTATTACTAAGTAGAAACCAATCGAACAATAGACTTGTATTATGGGTCGTACAAAAAAAGATTTAATAATAAGGAAATATATTTTCATTTCTTAATAAGAATAAAATAATATACTTTTTTCTATGTAGTCATTTTTGTGATTTATTCATATAACAAAACAGATAAAAAAATTTTCATGTTTATCAAATGAATAATCGAAAAAGCCATCATGTACAGGAAAGATATTTTTCTTTAAGTCATTGATGTTATCTATCCCATAAGTTTGAAGTTTCTTAGTAAAACACCCAAAGCTACTTATAAATTAAACTAATTAGATAGTCAGTATGTTCAAGAAGTATTTCTTTTTTGTTCATAGACATAATTATTTGTAAATGAAAAGCATCTCATTAAAGTTCGAACAAAAGGTTATTACTTAATTAAACACCTACTTTTCTTTACATGATATCGTTCTAATCTGCCACTGAACTTGATGTGCTCATTTTATAATTTTCTTATTTTGAGGATAAGTCACGAACAACTTATTTTCAGCGAACATGTTGTAATAAAGATGGTGCTATTCTTATTAGTGTCTATATCTCAACAAATAAAAATAAAAGAAACAAAATAAGGATAAAAAGTGTTTATAAACACAATTGTCATTAATGAAGAGCTAATGATGAGACATAATTTACTAACATCATCTTTAATTTCAGATAAAGATTTTTTTAATTTGAAAATAACTGTCCAAAAAAAATAAATTTGTGAAAATTCTAATTTCTTTTTTTTATGCCGATGAATAACCATATATACCGTACTTGGAACTTGAATTCAACTATTTAATATTTCAATAGGTAAAGTAAAGGTATTCAACTATTCAATTGTTCGAATAATTGAATATCTTTATGTCAACAATTAAGTGTTATTAAATAGTTGAATAGTGGAAGTAAAGGTATTCAACTATTCTATTGTTTAAGTAGTTGAATAGTCGAATACCTTTACTTCAATTATTTAAATATTGAATAGTTAAACAGTTGAATATATGAAAAGGTCTTCAATAATTTAGTTCAACTTTCAAGTTTAACACTACTGCGTATACGGTCGTTTATAATCGTGCCTTACCTGCTTGACTTGATGGTTGTTTTTAATAGCATCATTCAAGTAAATATTTTTTAAGTTAATCGTCACAAAAGTAAAATTTTCATAAAAATGTCAACCATATCGAGGCAAACAACCAATAAAGAACAGTATTAAAACGCATAAAAAATAAAATGCGTTCTCAAATGTAAAAACTGAAAATTCTAACCCAAAAATAACTAGTAAGAGTATGCAACTTTATGAAGTTATTTTCGTTCGATACTTCAACCCATGTTTAAGATGTTCAATCTTTTTATGCATAAAAACGCGCAATTTTTATGATTTGAAAATCGTTCAACAATTTAAACGTGTTTTCATACATTTAAGTTTTCAATTTAGTAATCTGTGTAAGGAAGAAGTAACAGTTCTATAATTGAAGGCTTCTTCAAAACTTGACACAAGGTGTCTCTCAGTTATGTCGCTTTTGTTCCGATTTTGGAGCATTATCATATCGATTCGACTTTATGGGTGTGTTTGTGGATGTTTCTGTTATTTGCAATGATAGTCACACCCCACACCCACACCCTTTTGGACAAAAAATATACGTCATGGAAAACTATGAGTCATTTTCTACGAGTCAAGTCAACAATACGATACTCACCTTTTTATTTGTTTTTATCAAAAACAGCTTTTTTTCTTACTACGCCACGTGCTGTTTCGAGCTACACGCTGCTTGAAAAAATTTCTTTGGCAGAAAGAAACTGTTTTTCTTTTTCTTTCGAAACGAAAAACATTTGTGTGATCACAACATTGTGTGCTGATAAGAAATTTTTTGTGCTATGTAACGAGTAGGAAGCCAAGCTAGACGTTAGACAAATGGAATCATTGAAATGCCCTATCACGCAAGAATTATTCCTGGATCCAGTAATTGGTGACGACGATCACACCTATGAACGTGAAGCTATTACTGAATGGTTAAACAAAAATGGAACAAGTCCTATCACACGACAACAGATGAGTATTAACTCATTACGAACAAACTATGCGGTGAAAAGGATGATTCAAGAATTGAACTCCATAGTACAACCGCAGCAAATTCAATATCAATATCAACTCGATGTAGATATAAGAAAAACTAGATCAAAACCGATATTTCAAGCATTTGGAAAGATGATCTATGAAGTGGAATGGATTAATCGTACAGGTCCACCAATTATTCTTCTCAAAATTGCAGGAGCCAAAGCCATTCAAGAAGCATCATTCTATGTTCGGTTGAGTTGTCATCCTTATATTGTTCGAACATTTGGTCTCGTTCAGTGCAATCCAGGTTCAATTATGCTTCTACAAGAATGTGCTCCACATGGTGATCTTAGTGAACTATTACAAGAAAATGAATTTAAACCAAATGAGAGAGTTCTCATGAGAGTATTTGAACAAATATGCGATGCTATGATATGCTTAGCTGATAACGACATTGTCCATGGAGATTTAGCATGTAGAAATGTTCTTGTTTTTCAATATAATGCAACTGATCCAGATGAAACCTTAGTTAAACTAACAGATTTCGGTTTAACACGAGGAAGCAAGTTATACTCAATTGTTGATAGTTCCTCCATGTCAACAATGACCATCATCCCTATACGATATGCTGCTCCGGAGATTCTACGTGATCCAAATAAATCAAACTATTCTGAGAAATCAGATGTTTATTCTATTGGTGTTTTGATGTGGGAAGCTTGCGCTTTTGGTGAATTACCTTATTCTTCGTTACATGATGACAATGATATCCGAAGACGAAAGTTAAATAATGAAAGACTTCAACAGCCAACTTCGTGTAGTCATGAATTATGGAAGATTGTCAATGACTGTTGGTATCCTGATCCAAAGGATCGGCCGGCGTTCAAAAGTTTGAAAAGGTCATTGTTGACTGTTCAAAGTCAATCAGCATACACGTATGTTTTAGATATTTAAATAATGTTGCTGAATAATTCAGTAGATAACATTCGTTTAGTTCTCAACAGCAAGTAAATCTAGAAGCAAATCGAAATCTAAGTATTTAGCAACTTTTATAGTTAAGTGTTTGGTTATACGATGTTTATCTGATTTAAAGCTCAATCAACGGCGAATGAAGATCGCAATACAACTAGTATTGTTTATATTCCCTGTGAAATTTGTAATGAACAGATCGATTTACGTTATTGGATGGCTCATATTGTAAATATACTTTTCTATAGGCCGTTCTTCTTTATACATTCTTGTCTTATAGCAAGACTGTCGGGAACACGAAATTAATCGAATAGAAGCTCTTGCTGAGTAAGAATTTTCTTTTACCTGACTAATAGTTGTGCAATGTAATATTCAGAACAATAAATAGAGCATCTATTAAAGAAAATCTTCCATGTGAGTATTGTGAAGAATTACTTTCAGCAGAACAACTTCGAATGCATGAAGTAAGTGAAAAATTCACTATTGTTGCATAAAAAATGATTGAGCATGATTATTAAACAGACAAATTGTCGAAAAAATCCTGATAATATAGTTCAAGCAGTTGAATTTGCTCGCCCGCAATCATTTTCAATAACTGGTCCAAGAAAGAAATTACCTAACACTGAGAGAAATACAACGTTGTCATCAAGTAAGTTGAAAAGTCTTGTACTATATCCCTTAAAGAAGCAAAATTTAATTTTAAGTAGTGTTACACGAGTTTTCTATTCAACTGACATTCATGTCTGCTCACAGTTATTTGTTGAGGTCCAGACACATTCTTGATCGAATTGCGAAACGAGAGCGTATCATTGCATTTAACAAACAGCTTATTTCACCTGATAGCAGCATCTGTGTTCATAGAACTAATGGAATGACAAGGGAGCGCGATAGTTTTTGGATCTTCAAAGTGGTTCTGGTTCTAGCCACAGCCCCGCTCTAACTAGGACTACAGTTTTTTGAAATTTTATTGAATTCAGATCCTCGATTTCCAGCTTTTCGAGCTATTCCCGGTGCTTCTCTTATCAAGAACTACACGATGAATTTTCATGCTTTAGTTTTCCATGACTAAGAATGCAAAAAATGTCTACTTGTATTTACAATTCAAATAAGTCCTTCACCGATTCATATGCTAGTTTCGAAAATCGCATTTTTTTCATGATTTGTATTGATATTTTTATACATGAGTTGACACAATATATATATATAGCTTCGGCTCAATAGTAAATTCCCATTCTGATGATTCTAATTTTGCTTTGTCAGATTTTCCTATTTATAATGTTAAACTACTAGTGTTATTATTGTAGTTCTTTGTATTAAAAATAAACAACTTGATTGCTATTCTTCTAAATAAGAGTATCAATCGAAAACTACGTTTAATCTTACAAAACAGTTCTTGGTCTCAGAAAATGATATCGGAAACAGAAACTATGCAGAATTTTATACAGTGATAGGACCCAGCTTCGAAAAAACTTGAATTTGGACTTGGGGTCGTCTGCAAAACAAATAATTTTGCGCATATCTAGATAGCAGTATTTCATTCAATGCCGTTAATGAGCATCTATCACATAGGCAGTGTAAAGCAACTAATAATTTGGATTCACACCAGAGTTCGAAACAGATGTTAAGAATTCATTAGATTTGATTCAGTTCCAGTTATGTTCGAAAAACCATGTCATGTATTTTTACATAATATCACTTTTTTGACAATGTTATGTCCTGAGAATTAGAGTTGTCTATGGATCGTCTCTGTAACTATACGATTTTGCTATAATTGGTGAATACATAGTTGGGTTGGAAAAAGATTGAAAGAAAAAATGTCGAAAAATAAATATTGAAGCGAGAGATTAATAAATATAAGGAGGGTTTACAATAAATGATGATTCCGAGCCCTGAGAGTTAATTGTTATTTTTCTTGTAGTTCTATCTAGATTTGAAACTCGTAGTGACATTGATCAATAATACCTGATATGAAATAAGTAGAAGAGTCTCCCCACACCCTACACAACTGAATTATATTGCCATGGCTGCAGTTGCTTCATCTTCAGTAAACTTAAACCAACTATAATTCACCATATGCGCCATCAGTTTAGTACAGACTTAGGAGCAGGACCGAAGCATCTCATAGAAAATAAGATTCAAATATATGAATCAGCTGGACAAACAATATTATGAAGTTGTAATAAATGCTGTGAAATATTTATATTGATTGTCACTTTTACTCGCTAAACGAAAAACCTGACATTAAATTTTTTTGACTGATGTTTGATCTCTCTTAGAATGTAGGTATTATCTAATATAACAGACCATTTGTCTCGCTACTCATAATTTATTAAGATCATCTTCGACAATTTCTCACATCAATAATTTTTACACACATCTCTCCCTGATACTTTGACTTATTCTCCTCGAATAAATATATCCATACAGATTATTTATTGCCATAAGAAAATAGAAACGAAAAAATATTATGCTTCTTTATTAGTGATTATCTTAGTCAGTGAAACAGCGTTAAATTATAACACTATGTAATAAATAAATAAGTTACTATCAGCCGAATATAAGAGAAAAGAAAACAGAGATTATATGCTTTATGTCATCAATCCTTCGTTATGTCAATCAGACTGCGCTCACCATAAACGCTGTACACTAAATAAAGAGCTTCTTATCAACCGAATATGACGAGAGAAATTCGATTCCAATCGATCTAGTTTGTAAAAATGATCATTCGTTTCAATTCAAATCAACAAACGCTATATTTAATTCTAAATCAATTCGAAACCGGAATAGTATTCAAATGACGCTCTATCATTATCAAATACATTTGATAGCATCATCTTACGGCAGAGAAATTCGGCATATGGTAACCGTGTACTTCGATTAGCATGATCTCAGACATATTCATGTCTGACAACGTGTGTTTTACTTTATTTGTTTTAGATGCTGACTATTTAAGTAAGCAATCGGATTCACAAAGCTTCTTCAAACGACGAAGTAGCTCTCGTCCAAACGGTAAAAAAGATGCTCAGCACGCTCGAAATAATGACTATATCCTTTCTCACAGTCCTCCAACAGAAGGTCAAGTAAGTAAACCTATTTAATCGGATCTCTAAATTTACTTCTCGAATTTATCCAAACATTAGTCGCAACAGCAACAAAATCGTTGTGCTGTGATGAACAATAAGAAGGCACAAAAGAAGCCACAGTAAGTACAGCTCATATTGTGTTTTGTTGTGCGCTCCTATTGATCATTACAAACTGCACCGATGAGCTTTGTTTAGAATCCTACAGTCGCTTGTTGAAAGTGTGCGTACTCCTGTCTACTTGGAACAAACATATACACCATCCGGGCAGCCACCTATGTCGTCTGAACAATCATCCCCATTCACTGACCAATCGCTTAGGAATGCTCGGCAATTTGCTGGGGGTTTTCAACAATCATCCATAAGTTTCGAACAAATAAATACTGAATTAGAACCATCACCCAGGAGTGCCCAACAACCACCTACCAATTTTCAACCATTGCCGCGGAATACTCTACCATCACCTACTAGCTTTGAATCATTACCTTGGAGTGCTCAGCAATCAACACTCAATGCTCAGCCATCACCTACTAGCTTTGAACCATTGGCTTGGAATTCCCAACAAGCACCTACCAATTTTCAACCATTACCACGAAATACTCTACCATCGCCTACTAGTTTTGAACCATTGGCTTGGAATTCCCAGCAAGCACCTACCAATTTTCAACCATTACCACGGAATACTCTACCATCGCCTACTAGTTTTGAACAATTGGCTTGGAATTCCCAGCAAGCACCTACCAATTTTCAACCATTACCACGAAATACTCTACCATCGCCTACTAGTTTTGAACCATTGGCTTGGAATTCCCAACAAGCACCTATCAATTTTCAACCATTACCACGGAATACTCTACCATCGCCTACTAGTTTTGAACCATTGGCTTGGAATACCCAACAAGCACCTACCAATTTTAAACAATTACCACGGAATACTCTACCATCGCCTACTAGTTTTGAACCATTGGCTTGGAATTCCCAACAAGCACCTACCAATTTTCAACCATTACCACAGAATACTCTACCATCGCCTACTAGTTTTGAACAATTAGCTTGGAATTCCCAGCAAGCACCTACCAATTTTCAACCATTACCACGGAATACTCTACCATCGCCTACTAGTTTTGAACCATGGGCTTGGAATTCCCAACAAGCACCTACCAATTTTCAACCATTACCACGGAATACCTTACCATCACCTACTAGTTTTGATTCATCACTTTGCACTGCCCAGCAGCCACCTACCAATTTTCAAACATTGTCGCGGAATGCTCAACAATCGCGAAGTAACTTAAACAAATTGTCATGTAACGTAAAACAGCGACGTAGGAAATTTGAATGAAAAAGATGTAAAGTGTGGCTTCAAGTTTCATCCGTACTGCAAATAGCGTTATTTCAGTAACCGGAGTTTTTCTGCTCATGTTTATTTATTACAGTATTTCTCTTCTCAGTGACAGCAGTTTTTATATTTAAGCGAGATGTTCAGTTTTCTTTTACTCCTATTTTTTTAAAGGAATTCTCTAGCGGCGTTCTGTTCACAGTATTTTGAAGTATCCAGTTTCTCTAACTTTTTTCGTACAGTTTTGGATGTGGATTTGGGTGGGTGAGTGTGAGTGTTGGTGTGTGGGTTTGGGGTGTGGGTGTGGATGTTGAGAAAAGATTCCAGCAAAACTTCATCACTCATCCGCATCAATCCACGTCCTCATCCTATACTTAGATTTCTGTAGCACTTTAATATGTCGCGCAGCAGCAAAATATTTTGGTTAGATGAATGAGAGACAAAAGTAAAAGCATGATACACATTTGGTTTATTGAGAATATGTCAATATAAAGAATGGGACAAAGTAAATTATTTATAAACCTATATATATAGAGAGAGAATAAAACATAATTGATAAGAATAGAATGCACATGCACATATGCTACAAGGTCGAAAGCAAACACGTCGGAAGTACACGTGAATGTGAGTCACAGATATGATGGTAGAGTATTCTGTGGTAATGGTTGAAAATTGGTAGGTGCTTGTTGGGAATTCCAAGCCCATGGTTCAAAACTAGTAGGCGATGGTAGAGTATTCCGTGGTAAT